CCTTTTTTAAAACATGATCTGTAAAAAACAAGCCTCAAATCTTTACCTATGTGACCGATTAATATGGCTCTAAGTTTAGTTTATACCTAGTTGTCAGACATAAACTAAGTATTAGTTGTTCAATTTGTTTACACTAACGTTATGAATCAGCTAAATTCGTGTTTTCAATAATATAAGTGTAAAACTTGGGTACTGTGGTCGAGCGTAATTCCATTTTAGTCTGTTTATTAGAAATGCCACACAGTGAAACAGTATCATTCACTGGCTAACGTTTTGGACACAATTTATTGTCCATATTCATATCAGTAGGTAACTCCACAACTTCCAGACAGACTTTATTTATTCCTAATTTTATCTCCTTCTCTGTGATGACAAGGCTAGTAGAATTTTCCATATATCTGGGACAGGTGCAGCATCATTTCGATTGCATCTGTTTGGTGTTGATTCGATAAACAAAGATTCACCCAACTAGGTTAGTTTTCAACACCTTCGTCCTATTCCACTCTACTGTGTGATTGTGTGTCATCGCATGCAGAGCTATAGCCGAGCATCTCTCTACATCTCCTATCTTATTAGGATCTACTAATCTTGATTTAGCTTAGCGTTTTTGTGCTGTGTTATTCTAGTTGACCCTGCCTGGTCCACTGCTTTAACCTATGTACTTGACCTCGCAATCATTGCAAGGGATCTGGTAAACCAGATTATTTTCCTTAAATGCATCGATAGGATTTTTTAACCTATGAAGCTTGTTTCTGAGCGAGTTTGTTGGTTTGAATGCCACTTGAATCTCAGCCTTACTGAGAATTCTTCGTAATGCTTCTGAGGTGCCTTCCTTGTATGATAACACAGCAGAGGCTTTGAATTCTCTCTTAAACCTGTCACCATTATTACCACTAGTAGTGGGATTATTATTAATAACATCTGTATTACTACTACTGCCACTGCTAATATTTTTCTTTCGATTTTTTATGAATTTATTTATAAATTTTGGTGGGTAATTATTGAGACGTAAGATATTCTTCATGTGTCTAATTTCTTGTCGCAGATTTTCTGATCTACTGGTAAGCTTTTTCGTTCTACCACCTAAGCATTCAACTAAGCATACTTTAATTGAAATGGGGTGGTAGGAGGATTCGAAGTCTAGGTAGCGATTAGAATGGGTAGGTTTCCTATAGACACTAGTCTCTAGATTTCCTTCTTGTGTTCGTTTAATCTTGCAATCCAATATTGCTAGCTCACCTTCTTCACTTTCTAAGTCAAAGGTAAATTGGATTGTATTTACTACTGAATTTATATATGCCAATGTTTATAAAATCTGTACCGTGGAGGTTAATTTCTTCAGATACCGTGCATGGTAGCAACATTTCATTCCCCCCCCCGCTCATTATCAATGGTTAATTGTTTTTCGAAGCTTTCTAAATCATATCTACTAGCCTCTGATAGCTGATTGGTATTAAACTGCATTTCATCCTCTCAGATGTCTAACTAAATTGATCTTTGATGATAACGAAAATAATGTGAATTCGCTCTGATGTAGTTGATTTCGACTTTACAACTAATATTAGAAAGAAACTGAAGCTTTTACTTCCACAGATGTATATGTTAAACACAATGGAAAAGAAAAGAAAACCCACAATGATTAAATACAGATTAACTAAACACATTTTGGCCTTAGAAATGTTAGTTGTTACGCTTGAAAACATCTAAAACAGCTAAATTCCTTCGTATTCTACATTTCGAATTTCACAGTCTTGGCTGTGAAACTTTTAATTCCGACAGTGTAATTCAAAGATGAAGTGTGATCTATTTGCCTAATACATTCCGAGCAATCTGATAACATATTTGCTTGTCAAGTCAATTTATATTAAACCGAAGAGTCAGTGGACGAATACAACAATCAAGATAATAAGCGAAGAAAAAGGAAGCGTGACATATCTGATCCTAATCTTCGTAAGAAAACAAAGTTTACCGAACTAGATGCAATTTCAAGACAAATTGCTTTTGTACACATTAAGATGGTTTAAACGTGTGTATGATTATCGTTTCCGCAAATTGGAGTATACGTCCCTGTATGTTTCTATGCAAACTTTGAAAGCTATTTGAACACTAACTTTTTGACCCGTTTCGATAATATGTTTAGGTATAGATGAAGAGGGTTGTCCTCCACTCGCACTTATCAAAGCTTCATACTCCATTTGTTTTTGAAGCCGCTGAGGTAGATGCTCTCCTATCATCAAATACATGGCTCGATTACTCTTCCCTATGCATGTGTGATCACACCCTTATGTAAAGTGGCAAACGTAATACAATATGGCGTAACCATTGATGCTTTTTGTTTTCTCCTAATAATAATAATAATAATAATAATAATAATAATAATAATAATATTAACTGCATAATAGGTTTCCCTCTTGGTTGATGTCAACCTACGTCTCGAAATTATACTATTCAGCTACCCTCTGTATGGTATGTCTTAGAAACATAGTTTTGGTGCTACCTGACCTATACACTGGCTTATGAACTTCAACGGATATTCCTTCCCTAAAGTGTTTTAGTCAGTAATTTGATGTGTCCATTCATCGTATCTAATGTACAAATACTCTATAGATCCTATTAAACAGGCATTTCAACAGACCTCAATTCTCTATTGGATAGGATAAAAACTGGGAAAATTCAGATATTGTCCTGTCTGTGCAGGCTTTCTGTAGACTGACCATCTTACTCTTCGACTGAAAGTACATCTAGGAAGGGTAGATAATTATTATTTATCCGCTTTCTCAAACGTAAGGTTTATATGAATTTGTACCATGTTAAGCCTTGTTAGAAGACAAACTATCTCCTCATTGCCTCTCACAAACCACTATGTTGTCATCAGCATATCTCTTGTAAAGAGAAACTTTAGCGGTGAGATCACCAGCCAGATTTTTGATATATGACACATCAGCTAGTAAATGATCCTAAAGGAATCCCCATAGCTACAGTTTCAACTTGTTAGAAGTGTTCACCTTCTAATACAAGTGATAGAGAATGGGAAGTTACTAGAGAATATGTAGTAGTCACAGAGAATGTTCATAGTCTTGGATAACGACACGTTAATGAATAAAGAATTTAAATCAGAACAGTACATAGTCTTGTTTTTGACATTCATGTTACTAAGACAGTCATGAAGTTGAAAAGTTTCTTTCAATAAAAACTTACAGAATTCTTTTCCAACTGGATTTGACATTTTCGCCAACCATTTTACCTGTTTATGTATGGGGGAACGGTACATAGACAATATAGGGTCTAAAGGATTACTAGTTTATGAATCTTATGTAATCCATACAAATTTGGAAATTGTGATTCGATAGGTTTCAACTTCGAATATCTCCTGATGCGGGATATCAGGTATGAATTTGTTTTCATCACTTTTCATCATTATCCTACCATACATAAACAATATTTCTGAAATCACAAGATTACTGAGACTACTTGGAATTGGTGTGGCTCATAAACTAACAAATTCCCTCCATACACTATTATGCAGACCAAAGGATGAAACAACCAAAGACAAAAGCCGAACATCATTTACAAAACCAACTGCAATAACTGTAGTCAGCACTACACTGGACAAAGTAGTCACCCTTTTCGCCTTCGTCTACATGAACACCAATTGACTAGTAAACGTCACACACAATATTTCATCACTCATTTCAATCCACATGGATAATAACTATGGACATGAATTCGATTTCGACAGTGTAGACATCTTGGATGGAGAGAGGAAACACAAAGAATATCAGAGAATTCCTAGAAGCTTGATACTCAGGTCAGTCAGTCAGTCAGCAATCAACAAATGTACTGATATCGATTCAATCTATCAAGCAATGAGGAAGATGATAAACGTCAGAAAGGTGAAAGGTGGAGCAGAGGAACAGTCAATGACGCAAAAATCAAAGGAAACAACCAATCAGAAAGCAGTTGGTCAGGACAAGCTACTAAATCACTGATAGCTCACTTCATACTGAATTTAGTGCTGATGATGTCGTCTAGCAAGACGATGAAAGCTCCACGACCTAGGAACTCAACTCAGATAGCACAATACAACCAAGACCATCCACCTGAGCTTCAAATATTATCCACTACCTCTTCACAACAATACCTGATCTCTTATCCGGTTTGAGAATGATTGTGCTACGTCTGATCGGTAATTCTTTCATAGATTTGAAGTGGTATGAATTCGAAATGCTTCTTCGTCTTATTTCAGAACTGTGGAATTAGTGATGTCTCCCAATGGTTATCTCAGTGTATGCCCAATCCACTCCATCTCCACTTTCTTCTAAGTATTTGTTGGGCGATGGATTCCTGCTTGGCTCGTTGCCAGCCAGCCAGAGTTCCTTGTAGCTTATTCTTTATGGCCATCTGATCTTCAGTATGCAGTGAGCGTAGGCGGCAGCTGTTGATCATTTATGTCTGTAGTTTGTTGGAAGTGCTTTTCATGACACGCTGTTTCTGAGCCATACAGAAGCACTGACTCGACTGATATTAATATTGAAAATCTGGATATTGTTCACGCTTTATGCTGAATGCAGTGAAGTGCAGTAGATCTCCACACTGATTTCAGATTAATACAGGAAGGCTTGTCTTGCTGTCTTTCTAATCTTGGCTTTGACATCGTCATCTGTACCTTTGCCGCCGCCTGTAGTTGAAATGATGCTGCCTAGGTAGGTGTAGATGTAGGTGAAAGCGACTACTTCCTTTAGATTTCTACCGTTGTTAGTGATTGGTGCTTGTTGTTGTTATTGCCTGGGTATTATTGAATCGTGTCTTTAAACTGAGTCAGTTAGTTGTATACAGTTGGTCACACATTTTATTCCGGAAAACGGACAGTTCAACTAAGAAGTTATTTCATAAATTATGCATTTTTCATTTTTTGCTTTCTTATAAATCTTTTGTTTAACCTTCTTATAAATACAATACAAAGATTAAAAAAAAATGTTGTTTCTTTAAATTTATTATAGATACTTTTGTGAAATATGTTTGGATCGTACACTTTATGCACGTACTACTAGTAAATTGTCAGATGGAACGGTATTCTGGGGTGAACAATTCGATTTAAAGTTAGTTTGATTCCATATTATCACAGATCTCTTTGATATACGCTATCTTATTTGGTGATGATATATGGGGACCAGATTGTGTTTGGCTGTTATACTTGAAGTAATGCTTAAATTGTTTCTCTGGAGATAAAAACGAATTACTTCAAAGCAGTTATGATATTTCGGTTAATTGTAGATTTATGATGCTGTAATGAAAATAGAAGCTTGTTAGCTGACTGGAGGCAACCTGAAATAAACTCTAATTTACCTAGATTTCATGATTATTGACATTAGTCTACAAGGTGTATGTAAAACCTCAAAAGAACTGATATCCCTTCAAAAATTCGAGCTAACTTGACCCGATGTTGCAGTCAGTTACCTTGCCACTGAGCTATTCAGCTGTGAATGACCTCCTGTATAACTTGAATAAATACACTGACTGTTCACTACAGATTAATAGATTTAATATGGTCTCGATTGGCTTTCGCCAACCCACTTCATCTGTGGCGCCGCCATGATAATCCGATTGTCAGTTGAGGCTCGAGTGCACTGTGCTGCAGTTATCTCTGTTATAGGTAAAGGACATGAGAAGACTTCCGGTGTGTGACCATCGTTGCCTTCACAGTTTAGACGGGATGTCATGACGTCATCTCATGAGTATTGCAGAAGTTAGGTGTAAAGTTTTAGGGAGGAGGAGGAAAGTTAGTTAATAAGCCTTTGAACTTTCGTTGACTGAGATGACTGGGAAATGTGTTATGCGTGCCTAGTCACCGTCTGCTCTGTCACACAATGTGGGCTGAACTAGGTTTTGACCTGAAAAAGGTTTGAGGTGGCCAGTACTGGAAGTCGTTGACTGTTGGTCTGAGGTACGTAGGGAGAAACCAGTGGTTGGAAACTCTAGATGATATGGCTCAGAATCGATGTCACAAGTGCAGATGTATGCATACTTTATCTTCATTTTATACGCCATAATGAATCCAACATTTCTCCTTTCTTTCTTTTACTACTTTCTACTGCTTTTTGATTGATTGTTCTCTCTTTCCTCATCTTTTTATCTTACCGCTTTATAACTTACTTGAACCGCCTGGTCCTAGGCTGGTATTGACTGGTTGATTGAGTCGTGAGTGCGGACGAGATTCTATCAGGTGCTCTGTACTATGATCTCCATGCAAGGAGACTCTTAATTACGGTGTACTTTGATTGGTGTTAGATGGTTTGAGGCAATTTTCAAGAATACTTATCTGAAATAGGTAGTTTTGAGTCTTGCTAGCAGTTTTCAGCAAGTCATATATGGGAGCTTTTGTATATGTACTCATAGGTATGGCCTTTTCGTATCTAATTCAGAAATTCATTTATTTCTTCTGTGAACCGATTCCAAAAGATCAAGTGAATATGATCTTCTCTAAGTTAGAGTTTTTCAGACTAACGATTACACGAGTGATTCTTATTAGAGGTCAGACATTCCACTTTTAGTGAAACTAATTTGGAAATGTCATTTACTCGTTACTATAGAAGTCCTAATAAGAGAGGACATTCAGTGTTGTTATTAAACCTTTCTACTAAAACTATACCATTCTAACTGAATTAAATTTATAGCTGTACGCTGTGTATCAGTATGTCGTAACTATCTGAAACACTTTTAAGACAAAAGGTTTGTATAAACATGAAAAACTTGGAACTTCTGAAGCTTTTCTACTTTTGAAACATCTTTATGATTCTGATTGCAGTTGAGCAAGACATTTTGCTGATAAATTGCCCCACAAACATTTTTTTGAAACCATTCAACAACCATATGAAGACGCCACATACCAAGTGATCCACAATGAAAGGCTCAGAGTTTCTTTTGTAGTGACGAAAGGAGTAAGACTAGGCTACCTACTATCACCCATGATATTCCTGATTGTGGTAGACTGGATCATGCAACAAATAGTGAGGAGTGAGAAGATGGGGATACGCTGTTTGACTGGGGAAAAGACTCTAGAAGATTTGGATTTCGCCCGTGACGACTTATGTCTTATGTCTTGTGGCACAAACTCGGAGATCTTCATGTGTAAACTAAGAAGTTGACAGAAGAGGCAAGGCAGGGCAGGAAGCGAAGATGGGACTTCAAGTGAATGTCGAGAAGACAGAGGTGATGAAGATGCCCAACCAACGCAACCAACAACAACAACAACACCGACAAGCAACAAGCTCCAATCACCATCAATAGGAGAAACTTGAAGGAAGTAGTCTCTTTCAACTACACCTACACCTAATTAGGCGAGGTAGCATCGTTTCAATTACAGGGTGCACAGACACAGACGAGGAAGTCGAAGCCACCCAGGATCGAAAAGACAGCAAGACAGGCATTCCTGCATTAACCTGAAACGAGTGTGTAGATCTTGTGCTCTGCACTCAGCATAAAGCGTGAATAACATCCAGATTTTCAACAGTAAGTCAGTGCTTCAATGTGATGGTTGAGAGACTTGGTGCGTCACAAAAGCATTTCCAACAAAGTACAGATATTCATCAACAACTGCTGCCTACTCTGGTTCTTTACTGAAGCTCAGATAGCCGGAAGGAATAATAAGAATAAGCAAGGAGAAACTCTGGCTGGCTTTGCGACGAACCAAAGAAGCAAGAACCTGTTGCTCAGAAAATATGCACTGGAAGGAGGTGGAGATGGATTGGATTGGAATGGAATGGGGTGGGTATGGACTGAGAAGACCGAATGGGCACATCACGTGCCAATCCAGGCACTCGAGTGGAACCCAGATGGTAAACGACTAGGTGGGCGTCCGAGGTGAGGATAACGTGGAGGATATGGTGTGAAGAAGAAATGAGAGGTTGTGGGCAGTGGTGGAGCCAGGTTGAAAAGATTGCAGAGAAGAGAGTGTAATGGAGACGTGCTACTGAATCCCTATGTTCCTCTCGCAACCCAGGGTATAAATAATATAATAATAAAGGATACTAAGAGTTCCTGTGTTTAACTTATCGAAATAGAAACTTGTCTGGCTGGCCCAATCAAGACTTCTCATGCTAATCTAATGTGACCACGATAAAGCAATAGTAACTTGTCGAGAATTTACATAGCAGTTAGGTAAAACTTTTGATGATCAAAGTCAAGTAAAAATCCAGTCATCATGCAGGTAACCAAGTGATCTATGGTTCGAATCCTGCGGCCTGCGATCCAAACTTTCATTTCACCCTTAGTCATCATCTGGTATCAATAAATATTCAGATAATATCGAAACATTCGCATAAGAGCCCTTATATCAACACAATTCAATCTATTTGGTTCAGTACAACATTATAAATAGGCTTTATTATTATTTTTATTATTTGTCCCTTGGGTTCCTAGTGCAAGATAGGGATTCAGTAGCACATCTACATTACACTCTGTTCTCTGAAATCTTTTGAGCCTGGTTCCAAGACAGCCCACAATCTCTCATTTCTTTCTCACATCATCTCCTCCATGTCACCGTTGCCTCGGACACCCAACTCATTGTTTCCCAATTGGATTCCACTCCAGGGCCTGGCCTGGCGCATAATATCCCCAATCGGCTTTCTCAGTGCATGCCCAACCCATCTCCACTTCCTTTCAGTGCATATTTGTTGGGCTTATAAGCTTATAAATAAGCGTAGAATGAATTTTTGAACAAAATGATCAAATTTAAGACTTGGTAATATTTCGAGCAAAATTACTGTTGGTGATCAAATCAATGATCAGAATCATATATTTCTGAAAGATGTGATCCCTATCGATATTTTGCTCCATTGATTCTAATAAATTCTTTTGTAAATGATATTCGAACATTGAAATTTGTGCATCCATTTACGGATTTTCATTATATACTAACTGAAACGAATTGACTTAATCTCACAATGTTTACTGTTCACGTACAGTAATGATGGGCAGTGACTAGCAATGGAATACAGGATGCGCATTTCGTCCTAATTGGGACTCATCAGCTGGATGTACCTGCTGGCTCCCAGTGAGTGATGTTGTTCCCACCAGGATTTGGACTCGGGAGCGATAGCTTAAAACGTAAGAGCGTTATCTACTACACCACCAAGACACGATAGCCACTTCTTGCTTGTATGACACCGTCGTTGATTGGACCGAATTGATCAGTCTCTGTTGGTATATGGGCTCCTATGCGGATCCCTCGATATTGCCTGTGTTTTAATTATGTATAGTAACGATAACGCTCTGGTGTTTGAAGCTATCGCTCCCGGGTCCAAATCCAAGTGGGAACAACATCACTCACTGGGAGCCAGCAGGTACATCCAGCTGATGATTCCAAATTAGGACGAAATGCGCATCCTGTATTCCATTGCTAGCCACTGCCCATCATTACTATACATAAGTAAAAGACAGGCAATATCGAGGCATCCCCACAGTAGCTCATATGCCAACAGAGACTGATCAAGTCAGTCCAATCAACGACGGTGTCATACAAGCAATAACATTAAGACTTTACTGTTCATAGTTTAGTAAAATTTTCTTGTGTATTGGAATAGGTCTACTTCAGTCAAGAATAGCCACACTATATGACATCAAGATCATTTACTTCGAATATTCGTATCAGTTATGCATGCAATAAGTTTGTTAGTCTTTCAGTTAAATCTATACCGTATATCTGAACTGATTTTTCAATATATTAATTGATTATCTTTCTGTTTTTCTTTTCTTATTGTTTTTTACTACATTCACAGTAATTTACCCCAGATTTCCATAATGACAATCAACTTATTCAGACAGGGAAACTCTATCAAAGATAAACGACAAAGAAGTAGAAGTCAGAATCAATTTATAGGTATGTGTATCGTGTGGCTTAATAATAATAATAATGATAACAGTAATAATAATAATGTATTCTTAAGCATACTGCTCAAACTTGGTATATTGTCCTTTGAATAGCCTCTATACTAGAATTTCTTGGAAAGGTATCTATAAATACCTTCTTTTGTAGTTAGCCATACACTCTGAGCAAAACATAAACAATACAGTAGTCATAATTCAGCAACGAAGCTAGTTTACCGGTTTCATATATACCATAGTCATTTATAAACACTAGACCTAGTGTGTTTTCATAACGAGTAGAAAGGTGTTAACCAGTTTTTCATGATCCAATGATACAAGGAAACTATGCTCATATGAATTAAAATCTTTATAGACTATGATAAAACATTACTCAAAATCTGAGCAGGATAATTTAGTGAATTCGTCAGCAAACATTTATAAATCTGAGAAACGTGAGTTAAGTGTGACATAAATATGTAAATATATTTATATTTAGGACGATATTTACTGATTAGCAGTCAATCTTGGTGTCGGAGAAGCTAGTTGGAGGTGGACTAATTTGTATTGATGAATACTGCTTCACTACCATCACATTTCTTCTTGGAAATACATCAATCTTATTGAAATAACTTGAAACCATTTAAGAAGTCATCATTGTTTCTTGCAGTATTATTACACCAGTCTTAGGATGAATATTCGTGGACAAGAGCGAGCTAAAATAACCAACTTTCGTTTGTAAAAACCTGCAATTTGTGTAAAGTATTTTCAGAATCGTCATTTGAACTACAGTGCCCATTGTCATCCACCATGGTACTCTTACTAAATTCCAGGGCAATAGATTGTAACTATTTTTAAAATGCGCGGGAGCATATAATACGATTAGAAGATATGACTGAATGATTAAAACAATATAGAAAGGAAAATTTTGTCTGATTCTATTCCATGGGTTAAATAAAGTAGTTCAAAGTTCAAGCGGGCTACTGCATTAGTATCCTCAGTAAACTTGAGTTGTTTCCCGTAGTTTAATTTCGTGTGAAAAACTTCTATAAACTGTTTTGATTTGATTTCTAACGTGCCACATCAAATGGTAGTGTATACCCACATCTTTAACAGATGCATTTCAGACACAGGTCTTCACTCTTCCTGAGATACTTAGGAAATAACTTTGTAGCAATATTATCGTTATTATTATTTGTCCCTTGGGTTCCTAGAGGAACATAGGGATTCAGTAGCACTTCTCCATCCCACTCTCTTCTCTGAAATCTTTTCAACCCGGCTCCACGACAGCCCACAAGCTCTCATTTCGTCCTCACACCATATCCTCCATGTCATTCTCACCTCGGATGCCCAACTCATCGTTTCCCATCTGAGTTCCACTCGATGACCTGGCCTGGCGCATGGTGTCCCCGAATGGTCTTCTCAGTGTATGCCCATTCCAGTCCATCTCCACTTCCTTCCAGTGCATATGTGTTGAGCGATAGGTTCTTGGTTGGTTCGCTGCCAGCCAGAGTTCTTTGTTGCTTATTCGTCAGTAGCTGATTGGTCAATACAAAGTCATCAAACGGGATCAATGAAATCACAAGGTGATAACGGCCAGAACACCAAGGTCTTCACGATCACGGAAAATTGCTTACAGGATAACAGGATGATTACGACCTAGGTAAAATTACAAATTGAATGTATCTCTTTTGGATGTAAAGATCAGGTTTGAACCTATGGATTGCCAAAGCCTCTGCTGTATTGCAGTAGGAAATACGTACTCCCTTCAAAATGTTTGATTTCACCTTATAAATGGCCGTCAAAGAAAATTCTCATGGAGCAATGTGACCAGAGTTAACCAAATGCTTAATAATCGAGTTGTTAATGGCTTTACACTCTCCTTTAAACAGCCACACAGGATAGTTTTCGGAGATGTGTTTGTATAGAACAGCACCACAAGAGTTATTTCTAAGAGATAAATGAATTTGATAACAACAGCAACAACTTAGAAACATGTCAATTGTTTGATGAGCTTTTCACCTAAATACCATACTTCATGTTATGTAACAGTCCTAATACTGATTGGTTTTCTGTATGTAGTTGAGTTGAAGAATAGGCTTAACTGAACAAGTAAGCAACTTACCACTTGCCAATACATTTGTAATTAATTAGAGACTTAGGTAGAAGTTTATGAATAAACGCTTTCCACATGCTTTACAACTGTATATTTGCTCATTGGATCAGACTTAGGTTACATTCACTTAAAAAGTATGCATAAGTATATCTTGACCAACATTGTGTGACTGCGTTGATGACAATAATTGGCTTGTTTAATGAAATTTATGTTCATCATGATGGAAAATTTTAGAAAAACATGGAATATATATATATATATATATATATATATATATATATATAAAGTTTACAGTTTGAATTACACACATCAACTAGTATAACCTTCGATAATTCCTACGGCTGTTTATCTCCAAAATCGTTCTGAACACCTAAAAGGCTAGTTATCCTTTTTTTGTTGTCGTGGCCAGTATTATCACTAATCAAACACGGTTAACAGTGGAATTGATTAGATTCTCCGAAGTTGGATGCTAAATAGATAGTTATTATTTATTATTTTGTATTATTTTCCCCTTGGGTTCCTAGTAGAACATAGGGCTTCAGTAGTATGCCTCCATTGGACTCTATTCTCTGCAGTCTTTCGAACCTGGCTCCAAGAGGTTTATGCGTAGATTAATTTACTGAATCAGATGAAACTATGTATATCACTTGTGAAATCTTTATGAATTGCTTATTTTCCATTAGTCATTCACTCTTGTTTGAGTGAATCTTCAGTCACAGACTCAAATGAAAGTGTAACCTGACTCTAGGATATCTACGTCTCATAATGTCCGTCGACAAAGTGTATAAACCATGATTTACGAGTCTCTTGTTTAAATGCCTCCGCAGTTAAAATGTTCTATATTCAGTGTTTACAAACAGATTACCGGGATTCAATTTATTATGAAGTATTGTTCATGCATCAATAGAGAAAACAATTCTTACTGTAAGAACATATTTTAGATTCTAACTAAGTTGTAGGGACTTTCTGAACCGAATACAGATGGTGAATTCACTAAAAGAATATCCAATGATATAAGGTTAACCAGAAGACTATATTCTAGATGAATAGTACGCCAAACATACAGGTTTTTTGCAGTCGATTAATCAATCCAGGGCTTAATGAGATAGAACTAAGCGTAACCAGGAGAACATCTGCAAATATTAACTTTGGTAGACCTTGGCTTGATAAAAATAAACGTCCTCTAATTACTGCTAACCATAAAGTGAGTGGGAGTGTTATTGACACCAGTATAGGAACCCAATAAAGCAACAGGAAACTATAAGTATCAGAAAGCAACAAGTGGTGACCCTCGTGCCCTAGTGGCCTAGTGAATAACACCTTGACATTTGATGCCATGAGTACTTTGTTCCGATCTCAGTGGGGAAAGAATCACTCACCGGGATAGAGATACATCTAGATGATGAGTCCTGAACAGGATGAAACATGCCTCTTAGGTTCCACTGGTGGTAGTCACCATAAATCAATACAGTTGAATAATGTCAAATTCACTTCGAAAAAGGACTAAGTTAAAATTTAGTAAGATTCTAGGAAGAAAACAGGCTATATTCACACACTATAAATATGTTGGTTATGAAGCGATTTCTTAAAATTACTACTGTATAATTAATGAAATCTTTAACTCTATGCATTTCAATTATATGTCTATGAAAATTTGAAAAGCAATTAAAATCGGAAGGAAAAACAGATTTAAAACAACTTAGTCGATAGTGAAAATTAATTCAAGGGGGAAGATTTAGTTAACAAATGGGTTATAAAATCCATTTTCATATCGACTATAAAGTAAGGGATATGAATTAAACTGCAATCGATAGCAGAGACTTACTACTAACAGGGTTTGTCAGCTTTAAGTATATAGTGTACATGACTGAAGGTTATCTGTAGCATATCCTCAAGAATCTTGACAGAACTGATATCATTCCTGAGATTCAAACTTGCGTCACCCAATGCTGCAGTTAGAGACATTACCACTGAGGCATTCCACCCACGATTTACTGCCTTTAGGAGTGAATTACGTATATTAGTCGGTCACTGGAGGGTAACCATTTTCATGTCATCTAATCCTGAGTACTGATCAAATGCTCTGGATCATTTGGTGGCCACACTATAAAATGACCAATAGAATCCGGACAACATATAAAACTGCTTACTTCTCAGTGAACGATCAATATATATGCAGTATGTAAAGGACCACTACAGGCGGCGGCACAGACGAAGATGTCAAAACCAGAATCGGAAAAGCAAGACAGACTCTCATTAACCTGAAATCAGTGTGGAGATCGACTGCACTCAACACAAAGAACAAGATCCGGATTTGCAACACTAATGTCAAGTCAGTGCTTCTATATAGTTCAGAAACTTGGCGCGTCACGAAAACCACTTCCAACAAACTACACACATTCATCAACAACTGCCTACACTTGCTCGTTGCTGAAGATGAGATGGCCAGAATAAGCAGCAAGGAAATCTGGCTGGTGACGAACCAACCAAGAACCTATCACGCAAAAAATATGCATTGGAAGGAAGTGGAGATGGACTGGACATGCACTGAGAAGACCGACTGGGGACATCACGTGCCAGTCCAGGTCATCGAGTGGAACCCAGATGGGAAACGAAGAGTTGGGCGTCCGAGGTGAATGTGACGTGGAGGAGATGATGTAAGGAAGAAATGAAAGCTTCTGAGCAGTCATGGAGCCAGTCTGAAAAGACTGCAGAGAAGAGAGTGTAGTGGAGGCGTGCTACTGAAGGTGTATGTTCCATTAGGAACCCAAGGGGAAAATAATATATGATAATAATAATGTAAGAGACCAGGTCTATATACATTTTATATGCCTCATCTCTCGGTATTGCGACCAAATATATTACAGATTATGTTGTCCCCTAACAGCATCTGGATACGAATCGGAGTTGCTAGTTCTCGTTTTCGATAAACTATTTTCTTGTTCTACAAGTGTTTTTTGTAGTAATATTTATTATCTTTCTATCGAATATTTTTAAGTGATTTTTGAAATTATTTTATGCAAAACATATTACTTTTAAAGAAAATGAGTAGTAAAGTTTTTATATTTCATAACACAGCCTATGTTACTGTTCCATTGAATGATGATTCAATACAATGCGAAGTTCAACAATGGTTCACAATGCAACCTCCACAGCTTAATCCGAATTTAAATTATCTTGAAAGTCTACAAGTTAGTCATCAACATCATCAATTACAACAACAGAATGATATAAATCAATCTAAAGCAATGAATTCAGTCAATGGAGGGAGTTCTGGACGTTTTCGAAAACGTTCCACTCCAGCTACATGTTTTGGATATTCTAGTTCATTTTCTGGTATAACAAATTCACAATATACTAATACTAGACTGAATAATGATGAAATAAAATGTAGTAATGTTGAACAATCAAAAAAGAAATCTTCATGGACAGCTGGTGTTACTACAGAGATAAATTTGAATAAAGCTAATAAAACTAGTCCTAAATTATCGTGTACTTCAACTAATTCTCCGAATCTTTCACCGAGTAATAATTCGATTACAGCTAATTTTATTCTACCCGAAAATTCTTTCCCTCAAATAAGAATGAAAATTCAATATCAAGCTGTTGATGTTCTACCTATCGTATGCTACGATGCATTAAAAGAGGTAAACTCCCCTAACTTGAAAACAATAAAGATATAAATTATTTCATATATTTGTACTACTTCCTATAACCTTGAAACTGAGTGGTGATGCAGATCTTAGTCCTCGAAATGCTCAACTATTACTCTTCATTCATTTATCATGCTGACTGATAGACTGAAAGTATGTAGAAGCGAAGGGTTAACAGGCTCCAGAAAAGTATAGCGCAGCTCAAATTGTCCCATTAATATTGATTAAGTCATTACTTTGAGGGCTACCAATTAAAAGACGAATAGTGTTGTTGTTCCCACTAAGACTCTAGCGTTTGGAGAGATCGATCCTGGGTTCGAGTCCTAACGGGAACAATAATAACTACTAGGAGGTGAGTGCATCCAACTGACAAGTCCCAATTAGAACGAAAGAGGCTTCCTGGATCCCACTGCCAGCCACTGTCTACCGTCAATATCAAAAGTGAAAATGCCGGCAATATAGGAGGAATACAGGAAACCTGGGAGCATTGGACTAGTACTGGACTCCTCACCAGTGCGCACCCATGAACCACCTCACCACGGATCGAACCCAGAATCTTCAGGTTCCATTACCAGCCAACCACTGAGTCGGAATCCAACGGTCCATGGTTCCAACTTCTGTCAGTTCACGATATAGCGTGACCACCACCTAATGTCATCGTTAAGTATTTGTCCTCATGGTCATTAGGTTTCCCCGGTGGTTACGACTTCTCATTGGAAATTCAGAAATCATCTTTCCAAGTTATTAACTACTGAGCACTAGATTAATTCTAACTGGAGGTTTGTGTACGTTTATTATGGATTCGATTCCGACCGAGTAGCTCAATCGTAACATGCTGGCCACGGAACCCGAAGGTCCTGGGTTCGATCTCTGGTGAGGTGGTTCATGGGTGCGCTCTGGTTAGGAGTCCCACACTGGGAGGAAACAGGTGTCCATTTCTCTCAGGTCTCCAATGTTCCTCCGAGTGATGTCAGTCCACCATAAATCCCAACCTAAGATCAATTGGTAAATCTCCATAAACTTCCAGATAGTATTCATTAGTGAATACATTACAATACACGTAGACGAACCAGTAGTATGGTTTAAAATTAGTAGGGGATTTTTAAAGGTAATATTCATCACGAAGCGACATCAGTTGGAGGACCCCTGGGAATCCGAGGCCATTGGAGAGCTGTTCTGTCCCAGTGTGTTACACCTTAGAAGTACATATCCATGACTCCACTAGGGATTCAATTCAGGACCCAGTAAAAAGCGCATTAACCATTCAACAGCTACATTATAGTTCAATGGTTCACAGTTTCTTACTTTTGTTAATTCGCGACATAGCGTGACTATCTGTGGTCTTCAGTTGATATCCGCTTCACTTCCAACTGGTTAACTCTACAGGTCAAGGCTTCTTGCCATGTCGCGAATAGACAGAAATGGAGAACTGTAGACCACTGAACTTCGATCAGGTGGTTTACTGGTTGATGCACTCGCCGAGAGAACTGAAGATCCTAAGTTCACTTTGTGACAAGGTCGCAGATGCATGCTGCTGAGGAGTCCCACACTAGGACAAAACAGCTGTCCAGCACTCCCAAGTTTCCAATGGTTTTCTAATGGATATCAGTCCGTGGTGAATACGTACTTCAACCATCATTGGTTGGAAGCTTTTAGCATGTAAATACGATCAAAACAAATCTCGTGATGTGTCACAAGAAAAGCGTTCGAAACTTCATCATAAATAGATGGATTATGTTGAACATTTCCAGCTAATAAAATCGTTTCATCTCACCATAATCACAGAAACTGGTTAAGATGAGATTTTATGTTCTTGGCACATGCCTAATTCCAGGCCTAATAACTTCCAAGATCTCTTGAAAGTACCTACTAGTTTCTCTTATGATATTATACAGCGATTAAAATTTTGCACAAACCAATGGGAAAACTCAAATCATCAGCTTCAATTTTCTGAGTGTATTGGAGACTGGTTCTCACTAATGACAATATCACTGAATGGTAAACTGATAGAAAGCCGTAAATTGAATCATTCGACTGGAACTAATTGACCGGGTGGTTTCATGTTGTTATATCGTCCGACCTGGTGCTGTGAATTAGTACTGCTACAAGCTCAAAACTAGGGCAAACTGGTAGTTACTCAGTGCTCTTTAGTTTTCAGTACTCTTTGACAGATAGATCAATGTAGAATCTGCTACTATTGCGTTACAACCCGAGTTCACGCACCACATAAGAATATCTATCTACACTTCTCTAACTTATGTCAGTATCATAAGAAGGCTGTTTCAAGAAGAAAGAGAGAGAGAGAGTAGTATGCCGCTGCGCATCGAACTTAAGGCCTTCAGATTTCTAGGTCAGTGTGTTAACCATTCAGCAGCTGGGTTTGAGTTCAGTGGTTCACAGTTTTCTGCTTTTGTGAAATCATGGTATAGCGTACCTATTCATCAAGATCATCGGTTGGCATTTGCTCCACTTCCGACTGGTTGACCTTATGGGTCATGGATTGTTATTAGAGTTTCAGGATTTCCATCTCGAAGCATATAACTAATGATCCCCAGTGAGGTTGTGGGTGAATACTGCTCAAGAGTTCCATACTCGGACGAAACGACTGTCCAGTGCTCCCAGGTTTCCTTTGTTCCTCCAACTCATGTCAGCCTTCGATGAACAACAACTTGAAATATTTCCAAATCTCCACAACCCCCTCAAAATTTAATTGAACTAGTGCTCGTTGGTGACTAGCTTCGAGAAGTATTCCCGAAGTTCCAATGACAAGTCGTGACCGGTGGAGTCAAAGCCTGATGGTGGTGAGGACAGATACTCAGCGATGACATTGGGTGGCGGTTTGCGCTATATCGTGAGCTAACAGAAGTTGGAAATATGGAGCATTGGATTGTGACCCAGTGGCTCAATGGTAACGCGCTGGTCGCGGAACCTGAAGGTGGTGGGTTCGACCCCTGCTGGTGGGGTCGTGGGTGCGCACTGCTGAGGAGTCCCATAGTAGGATGAAACAGCTGTCCAGTGCTCCCAGATTTCCTTTGTTCTTCCAACTGATGTCAGTCTTCGATGAATAACAACTTGAAATATTTCCAAATCTCCACAACCCCCTCAAAATTTAAACTACTTGAATGTTTTGAATTCCGTCCCAAGTTGTTCAGTATGTCAGTCTATTCAATGAACGCAGCGAATTATTTCGTGGAGTTACGTTTTAATATTTCTTTTCTACAATTAATTTGTAAAAAATCCCAAAGCACTGGATAATTTCTAACAATAATAAAACTTTATACACATATTCCACTTGATGAATAGAGAAATAAAAATAATTGGAGTAAAATAACATTTTATCTCACCAGTTCCTCATCAGCTGCTTTGAGCCTAAAAATATTTGAATATCGTATTACAAAAGAATTAAAATGTAGGTCTTTCCAGTTACATGAAGTTATTGAACAGAGAACAATATGGTTCTGTTTATTCAAAGTGTCATACAGTGGAACAGTATCATTTACTAGATATCGTTTCGGTTATAATTCATTGCCCGTATTTGTGCAAGAAAACTGTGCAACTATATGAGACTTGGTTTATATAGTTCTAATTTTCTCTCCTTCATTGTGTGAGAATTCTCTATACATCTGGGACAAGTGTAGAATCATTCATAATGCATGTGTTTGGTGCTGACTCGATAAACGAAGATTTAGTCATGAATCTGTCCCTCCACATAACTAAATTAGTTTTTTATGCTGTCACTCTATCCCAGTCGACTGTTTGTGTATAATAGCGTGCATAGCTATAGCCTGGCATTTTTCTAAATTCCTTATCTTATAACGATTTACTAATCTCGATTTAGCTAAGTTTTTGTTCTGTGTTATTCTAATTGACCCTGGCCGACTAGTTTGATCTATGTTTTTGACCTCATAGTCATTGCAAAGTAAATAATTTTGCCTAATTGGGTCACTATGATCCTTTGACCCACAAAGCTTGTATCTAAGACAGTTTGATGGTTTAAATGGGACTTTAATCCCACCCTTATTAAGAATTCATTGTAACTCTTCCAAGGTACCTTCTTTGTATAGTAACACATTGGGGCTTTGAATTCTCCCTCAACTCTGTCACCATTATTATCCTGCTACTGTTGATAAATTTAGATGTAATGTATTCTTGATGTTTAATTAAGGGGGGGATTTATTGATTTCAAGTTGATATCCATCATGGAAGAACACTGGAAAGCTGGGAGTACTGAACAGCTGTTTTGTCCTAGTATAGGACTCCTCTCCACTGCACACCAGTGATCCCTCCAGAGAGGGATTTCTGAATTTTCAAATGAGAAGTTGTGATCAGGGGGAAACAATCTAGTGGAAGTGAGGACAACGACAACACTT